CTGGGAGGAGCAGGTATAAGTTGTCGGCGACCAAACTATCGCAGGACTCTTCCGGTCGGATGATGCTCGACTATATCGAGACATATCAATGAGACCTTAGAGATCTACACAGCTCGACCGCGTGAGCAATACTCTGGCAAACCGGCGATGATCTCGTCGCTATATGGCCTCCATATGAACTATTTATTAAACGCAAGACAAATCAAGCATTATCAAACAAACTTAGTCAAATATTTTCCTGAGCATCTTCTAGTAGATCCAAAAAATCCTTGTAATAAGGGAGAAGATGTCGAGCCTCGACGTTGCGCGAGCAGCCTCGCCTACCTACCCACCTCCTAGCGCGTGGTAGAAACGGCACAGGTGGTGCATCTGGAGCTAGCGGTTGAGGAAGGGGTTGCATCTACAAGAATCTCTCCCAAGACCAAACCTAATATTGATTATGGACGTAAATTTGAGTATTTTTTTTACTATATCTATGATAATCATGAAAAGAACTGATAATGTTATCACCTGCAGTAGCGGAATAAATCCAGCGACGTCGCTCATGCTACCCATCAACGCCCTGCACAGCTGCTTATAAAGGTACGCTAGAACGGTTCCAACAGCTATACGTGGGTAAGTCATCTAAGCTCTCCAGATGATGCAAGAAACCTAGGGTCACAAGGTTTCCCGAAGTGTTCGGGAAAAGAAATCCATCATATATCATTAAAACCAACAGCCTTGACTGCCGCTCAATAGACTCAAGTGGTGACTCATCTATGCTCTGCTCGTGCAGCGCCTCCAAGTGCTGCCTAAGAGGCGATAGCTGCAATCGACCAATGCCACTAATAGCAGTCTGCTCCGTCGGCTGGAATCCAGTGAGCCTCTCTGGCATTTGTAGATAGACGTGCCTCATATACTCCCTAAGAGCGGGTGGGTAGTGGACATCAAGACCGTCAACGGGCAACCCGAATAATACTTTCACATCCTCTAGCGTGATACCGCCGATAGGGAAATGAAATGATGAGTCTCAGGTCTCCACCGCTCGATCAGAGCCGTGATCACGGGCCAATCGAACTACAACCGATCGACCTCAATAATCCGGTAAATACCAATCCAAGTGAGGCACGCAACTGTACGGGGATGAAGTGGGTGGTCCCTAATAAGCTCCAAAAAATTGTCAATGCATCTCGGATAGAAGTTCTGGCTAAGCAACTCTCCATCCTAGATATGTGAAGACTTGTGGCTTGCCTGGAGCAAAAGTATCTCACGAGAAACATGTCCAGGATGCACAGATGGACGATCCATAATGATGTCTGGAAACTAAATAATATTAATTAAAATATTGTTCTCTTTAATCGTTTAACGTCTCGAAAGACCTTGCGGTATTTTTGTATTCATAAATTTTTATATTATTACTTAATTGATATAAAGTATTTATTTATATGTTAGTTTATAGGATTTTACGACTAAAGTTCGGCAGAGTTTTATTTGTACGGTTAACATTTTATCATTTTTATTCGTCGTTATAACAATACAAAATATTTAATTTGTTTAACTATCGAGATAACTTTAAATATTTCTAATAATTATTTTTATATAAAGTGCTATTAAGTATTTATCGTTCATAACGATTTACATGTTAATTTCTTACCTTTTACCAAAAATACCACAGAGTCTCTTTTATGTACTGTTAATTTTTTAACAATTTTATTCGTCATTAAAGTAATATTAATTACTTAATTTGTTAACTTATTGATATAATTTTTAAAGTTATAATAATTATTTTTATATAAAGTATTATTAATTATTTATTTCGTCCGTAACGATTTATATGTTAATTTATTATATTTTACAGCAAAAATACGGCAGGGTCTCTTTTATACTGACAACTAATTAATTTATTATTCATCGGTCAAAGAACATTAAACAGTAACTTATTTAACTTATCATGTTTTATTTGATTCATATCTGATAATACTTTTACTATATGATTACTAATTGACTAATATCTGATCCGTAATTGATTACTCTAACCGGCTACGTTAATGGCGACACGTAGGTATTGTTCTACACTAAAGGATACTAAAGAGCACTAAAGGCACATTTTTATTTTTCAACAATTATAAAAATATTAAACAACTAACATGAATTATAACGTATTTATTTTTTACTATACTAAGGACATCACTAAAGGGCACTAAATAACACTAAAGCCCATATTTTTGTTATATAACAATAATAATCAACAACTAACACAAAACATTCAACAACTACATAACGATGGTATAATAAACAATTTCAAACAAATTTGCTAAACATTAAATAAATTCGGATAAAAAAAAAACTACAAAACAAGCACAAATCATTCAATACATATATATATATATATATATATAACTTATACTAAAATAGTGTTTCGAAATACCTATTTCGAATATTTTTGACCGAAAAAAATATGCCGCTTTAACAACCGAATTGAGCACAAAGCGCGTTCCACTCCACGAGGCAGCCTTGGACCGTGTCTTTGATCGATAAAATATGCGCGACAAAAGATTTCGAGGAACAAAGTGGGCTCCAATTTTCTTTTAAAAAAATGGGGGGAGGGGCATACCATTTTTTTTGTTATATATACAAAAAATCATTAATATTTTTTTTCACCTATTTTTATATTTTGAGTCCAAATTTGCATCATTTTGTTCTGGACTCAGCCAAGTAGCACCTATGTGACATGATGATGTGACAGGTCATGCCATTTGGCTTCAAAAAATATTGTCAACGAGCTAAAGCCACCAGAAATATCACCTGAATATATAGAGTGACTTTGTATGTGAAATGCTGAAAACATAGTGACTTTTCTATTACAAAAACAAATAAAATTGACTGTGTAAGTAAAATAGTAAAAAAGAGTGATTTTTCTATTACAAAATAAATAAATAAAACAACTTTCTTACACAATTGTCATTAACTGAGTGACCATCTTAGAATTCAACTCAATTAAAATACCAGAAAGCATCCTAGTTCCATGAGCTTGCTGTTAGCATCTCTTCCTCTTATTTGAAGTGCAGAGTATTTGCAAAAGTTGAAGTCATCGGGAGGCACTTCCCAATCTTCTAACGTACACTATCCCAAGCTTGGATGGTCTAAAAAAATTGACTCTTTAGCCTTACATTGTGTTTCGCATTAGCATTTAAGTTGCCATTAGTTTTAATCCTAGTTTTGAGTTTCTGTTAATATTTTGGGTTCTGTTATACATTGACTAAAGGTAATGTACTACAACGAAGTCCAAGACCAAAATAAACCTATCTTTGTACTTGAGGAATTAGTCCGGTGTTGAATTCTCAAGCCAGCAGTGATGGCTTCACAGCAGAAGGATTGAATGAGAAAACTAGTCTGCTATTCTCCCGTTTACATTCCTGCCCCACTCCACTATAAACTTTTAGCAAGCGTTACCCCATCTCACCCATGCTAAAAGTTGCCTGTCTCTGCATCGCCTCATTTCCATACCTAGACACAAGTCATAAAGCCGACAAACCTTCCATCCAACAACACCTCAAAATACAAAAGAAATAGTACACCTTCATTAGTGCTGCCCCAAACACAGTTAACTATCATATTTCAGCTATTTGTCATATGTAGCTGCATCGTCATCCCAAATTCAATAGTCTGCTGGAAATCCTGTCATAAACATGACGCTTAAGTGCGCTGTTAACCTTCTGTTCGGAATGTGACATGATTTTGATGGTAGGGAGAATCAGGTTCTAAGGGACTCGGTATAAAAATAGTTATTGCAAGCAAGCTTGCAGGCAACCAACTTGAGAATAGCTAAGTGCCCTGCTTAGAACGTCAATTTCTCAGATGCAAGACCACCACTCTAAACTTCAACCACAGAAATATTGACAACACCAGGACACATTCAATTTGGCCCAGAAAGTAAAACAGCACAATGAGAGTATATCTTTCATCGGACATCCCCGATATAATGCAGTACCCTTCCTTTCCTTCAGAGGGCGAAATAACTATTTTAGTCAATGAACTCAAAAGAGGCCTCCCCCATCCAAACAGCCCAACGAAACACCAAATTACCAATAAAGTCCATCGAATACTTAAATCATTTGGATATAAATGCAGATTTGCCAGAAAAATTGTGTACATCAATTTCATGGTTGGTCTGACTAATCTCTTCAAGATCCCATCATACGTCAATCTTATACATATTGATATTAAAGTATTATAATTATTCTTTTCCGCGATGGTAAAAAGTTGGGCGGAGCTGAAGATATAACATATACAGAAATACTAGAGTTGATAAGAGAGCCATAGAACAAAAGCAAATCAGAAAATAAGCGACAATATCACGACCTCCCAGATAGAGCATAAACAAATAAATTGGATAACACATAATATGCATCAGGCGACATATAATCAATTTCTCTAGTCCCTCTATGTTTCCTCAATTTACTTAAGCTACTCAGGTCTAAAATGAAGCACCTTTGATCTAAAATTCTGTGAATAATAGCTCCCATATTTTCAACTAGGAATTTAATCATAACACAGGAATGTTATCAACTTGTAAAATCAAGTCCTAGACATTGAATTCCACCTATTTCGACTGTCCCTTCCACTACATTTCCTCAATTTCCTATTCGGTTCTAAAGTGAAGCACCTTTGATCTAAATTTCTGTTAATAATGCTCCCATATTCTCAACAAAGAATTTTAATCACAAGACTGGAGTGTGATCAACTAGTAAAATCAACTGCTAACCATTGAATATCCAGCCAGCCCAACAGACCAACAAACTTGCATAGAATCGAAGATAAGTCCACCAACATTTTGTTTGAATCGGAGTTTCCCCATTCAACGTAAGACACATCATAACACCATTAGAAAAATGTCTCTTTACACATTATAAGACCATTAGGAAAATGTCTATTTACACGTTACATTGGGTGTCATGACAATTAGGGGCAAACAGTCTAGTTCTCTCTGACATTTGAAGCATGACAACAAACAATCAATGCAAAAAAGATGAACTCAAATGTATTTCCACATACATCCGAGCATCACAGTGCCTCTTTAGCTTCCGCTGACACTGATTAAAAGAAACTAGGTATCAAACCATATAAAGAGCGCATACATAGCACTAGAAGACACAAAATAATTAAGAACAAAAGTTGTGAGGATATAAACTACAAATTCAAAAGCAAAATAGTAATAATAGCATTAATCCAAACATGCAAAACAACCAGTAAAGTTGTATCAAAAACCTTCCTCGAATGACCTTATAGATTATCCAAAGCCGCTAAATGCATTTGAAGACTGAAGAGAAATGAGAAATAATCGATATCAACGGTAAGACTTCTGGAACCTAGCACGAGCACCACGACCACCAAACTTTTTGGGCTCACAGCGCCTAGGATCAGCAACAAGCAAAGTCCTATCATAGCGAACAAGAATGTCCTTAATCTCCTTCTTCGATTGCTCGTCCACGTACTTCTGGTAGAAAGCAACAAGTGCCTTAGCAATGGACTGACGGATAGCGTAGATCTGAGATGTATGACCTCCACCCTTCACGCGGATACGCATGTCCACTCCGGCGAATCGGTGGCGGCCTAAAAGGAGAATTGGTTCGAAGGCTTTGTAGCGGAGGATTTCAGGTTGAACCAACTCGATGGGGACACCGTTGATTTTGATGAGACCTCGCCCACGCTTGCAGTGGGTCACTGCCACTGCTGTCTTCTTACGCCCGAAACATTGGACAGATTCCATAGGAGATGCGACTGCGGCTGCCATGATTCCTCTTCTTTGATCCTTTTTGGAGAAACCCTAACCCTAGAGCTACAATGGCATTGAGACGGGGACGGAGAGAGTGAATCAGGGAATTTAAGGGGGTTAGGGTTTTTGAACAAGCTGTAGGCTTTTGTTTGGGCCGCATCAGACTGTCCGGCAATTTGGGCTGGACCAGCAATATTTGTAAAAAAAGGGGATTTTTCCTTTTTCCCTTTCTATACAAAACTAGTATTTGTACTCGCGCGTTGCGCAGGAATACCGTAGACATAAAGGAAAATGAATTCGATTTTGCGGAGTTTGAACATTTATAGAAAAGTTTGATGGGTTCTACATCTTCCATTTGCATGTCTTTAAAGAGTTTTAAAGCTTCATCAAAATTTTCATTCAACACATAGCCATCAATAATTGCTGCCTAAGAAAAATATTTTTATCATTAAAGTCCACCTTCCCAGTTCAACCCTGAAACTTTTCGAATACATAATAATGCAGCTCTTTTTTATGGTACCGGTTCTTCTTAACATCTCGACACAAAGAAAGACCACAAATGCATCAAATTTTCAAACTTCAAGTTTGAAATCCTTAAAAAAAACCATAATTTATCATTCCAAATTTTGTCTTTACACCCTTATACCCTAAAATCACAACATTAAACGACGATATATTCAGGCGCGCGATGCCCTCACTTTACTATTTTTTAAATTTTGTGGCTGGCCTGGTCGCGTCTAGACGCGGATTTAGACGAGCCCAGTGCTGTAAATTTAACAATTAGCAAAGTGAGGTGCGCGATGCCCTCACTTCACTGTTTTTTTATTTTGTGGCTGGCCTGATCGCGTCTGCCTTCGCGTCTAGACGCGGTTTTAGACGAGCCCAGTGCTGGTCATTCCCTTCTTTTTTTTTGTTTTGAAATTTTGGAGGTGCTTACATATATGTATCCAATGCAGGACAAGAGAAAAGATGCTGTCAAAAAGGTGATTGCTGCTATGACTGTTGGGAAAGATGTTTCTTCACTCTTCACAGATGTTGTTAACTGCATGCAAACAGAGAATTTGGAGTTAAAGAAGCTTGTATCCTTATATCTTATCAATTATGCAAAAAGCCAGCCTGATCTTGCTATACTTGCCGTAAATACATTTGTGAAGGTATTTCCGTGATGAAACTCATCCTTAATCATTTGTCTTCGGTAAATGTTGTGGTTTTATTCTTCTCATTACCTACTGGTTGCTGATTTGTTCTTTATATGTTGATCTTCACATGTATAGCTACTACAATTAAAGCTTTAGCGTTCATCATTGGTCTAGACTTCTCAACTAATCTGAATCATTTACCTATGATTGAGAATAGGGAAGTGTTGATAAAACTTTATGTCTATCTTTTTAAGTTGTGTAATGCAATGAGTTTCGAGCGCTCATGATACTCCTTTACCCGGTCTTCAATGAGAATTGATATTGGAGGGGCTTTTCTATCTGATTTAATCCTTTTGTATGCCCTTCTTGCTTTTCCAGAGACCATAATATTTTTGCTCTTCAATTGAGTAGCTCCTATCTTTATCGGGAAAAGAATTTTAATTATTTCCTCTTCATTTGTTTGTTATATTGAGGTTAGTCACGCCTAGCAAGTGGACATAGTACACTAACATAGACATAGAACCAATGTGGGAGTATACCGGAGATCACTTCCTAAATACACATGACAATCACTCCATATTCTTAGGATTGAGGTGGTCTATGTCTGGCTTCAATTCCTTCAGAAGCTGCTGTCCACTTAAACGATCTCGTCTCTGCAATAAACAGCTTTCTGAAGCTAGTTGCGGACAACGATCTCATCGACTGTGTCAAAGACATTCTTTCTGTGCATTTTCTGATTAAACTTTATCCGAGCATTCTTTTTACTGTGTCCATATTCTGGCACGTTGTGTTCCTCCATTTTCTCAAATGAAACTGATATTCTTCTCAAGGGAATTTATCAACCATCACATCAATGTGGCGAGGTAAGTTATTTTTCTTGATTCGTACCGCACACAAATCATGCTTTGTGCTACTGTACTAAAAATAATGTTCTGAAATTAACATCAGGGACGTGAACCTTTCATCTCACATCAATAAGGTCTTTATATATATAACATCTGAAATAAACAACTTCAAATTATTGGTGTCTTACTTGATGAGGATGTTAGTGACAATAAGAAAATTAGTCTCCACATGAATATTAGAGTAGCCCTGTTGAGTGCACCATTCTACCCCAAATCTCACTGCTGTAGCTTTAGCTTGTGAGCTACTATTGGCTTGGATCGGGATCGAAAATGCGAAGATGAAATCACCACTGCTATCTCTAACAATGCACCCAATCCCAGCTTTCCTGCTAGTTCTAATAAAACTACCATCAGTGTTAAATTTTAATCCAACCAAGAGCTGGTTTGATCCATTGAACAGGAGTACATACGAAAGAAGGTTTGAGTTTGTCCACCAATATACTGTACTAAAGACAATGTTCTGAAATTAACATCAGGGACGTGAACCTTTCATCTCACATCAATAAAGTCTTTATATGTTAAGAGCTCGACATCCAAAATCAATGCTGGAATCTCACTTTGACAATTTGTCCAATCTTCTGACTGATGCCTCATATCTTCATTTAGAATACTTATCAATTCATCATCTTTAGAGTCCATGCTAATCTTCTTAGCATTGAGGTGGTCTATGTCTGACTTCAATTCCTTCAGAAGCTGCTGTCAACTTGAATGATCTCGTCTCTACAATAAACAGCTTTCTAAAGCTAGTTTGCGGACAACGATCTCATCGACTGTGTCAAAGACATTCTTTCTGTGCATTTTCTGATTAAACTTTATCCGAGCACTTTTTTTACTGTGTCCATATTCTGGCACGTTGTGTTCCTCCATTTTCTCAAATGAAATTGATATTCCTCTCAAGGGAATTTATCAACAATCACATCAATGTGGCGAGGTAACTTGTTTTTCTTGATTCGTACCGCACACGAATCATGCTTTGTGCTACTGTACTAAGGACAATGTTGTGAAATTAACATCAGGGACGTGAACCTTTCGTCTCATATGAAGGTTGAAAGCTACTATAACTTAGACAGGATATGAATAGAGCTGGAGGGGGACATTTATATTAAACTTGGACCCCTACCATTTATATTAAAACTTACAATGATAAGAGGGGACCATGGAAACCTTGCCTCGAGTACTACAAAAAACTTGACCCAGCAAACAGGAAAGGACATAGCCTATACAAAAAAACCTTTCCATCATATTAGTAACCTAACTAACAAAAAAATTACATTTTTCATATCTCCTCCTAAAGGAAGGAAACTGCCATTTGTCAAGTTGAATCAGCCCCTTTGCCTCTCTAGGAAGATTGTCTTGAGAGTGATATAAGGTCCTGTTTCTACTTGTAGAAGCAAATTTTGCCAACAGATCCGCAACTTGTATGAGAGTAAAATAAAGAGATAAAGTTAAAGAAGTTATTACATAGAAAATAAAAGTATGTTGTATATGTAACTTGAAATTACGACATACTTACCTTCATTGGTGATCCAGCTCTCAACTTCATCATCTAAATATAATAATAATTAGTGCGTAAAATTCGAAATTTAATATATGTGGAAGTTTTAATGCATTTGACCTATGTGAATACATTGATGAGTTATATGTGAATACCTTCAAAAACATCGTCATCTTCATTTGCATCGTGAATATATACGTTGGATTGCATATGGCCTTGATGAATAAATTATAATTTAATAAACTTGTATGTATGACTATGAGTTGTGGTTAATTCAAGGACATACCTGGTATATCAGCATCAATATTGTCATCTTCAAATTCTAAAATTGTTAGCCGTTTTCCAATTTCAAATTTAGCAAAAAGTATATTGCAAAACTGAATTTGAAATAAAAGGGATGCATTTAAAATAATAAAAATTGGATAAGTGTAACCAAAAAAAAAACTCATAAGTAAAATTGTAAAATAACAAACATGATGTACTTGAGAAAATAAAGAGACGCAAATAAATGGAAGATAATTAAAGTTGAGTTTTATAAATAATTTTGTTGCCCAAGTTTCGCATATAAATTATATGTTTATAAATTAAAAACTTCATTATTTATTTGGACATGTATACAGGGGCACCAAAAATTGATTTGCTCAAATTTTCAAAATAATTTAAATAATTTAAGCATAAATATTACCTTCAAATAATGGTATCTCATTTAAATCAGGTAGAAGTTGTTCTTCCTGCAAATTTGAACTCGACGAACCATATTGGAAATTATACTCTTGAATTGATATTGGATATTGTGCTTGAGAATAAGATGTCGAAACATGTCCAAAACTATTTATTGGGGTTCTAGTAAATCGAGGGAAATTTAGACGATTTGTTATGTCCGTTAATAGTTGTTTTGCTTTACCTTTTTGAGAAGTATTCCCTGTGATAATAGAATCAACGAATTCTGTAAACCATAAAATAAATACAAAATAACTAATTGCTAGAATTGTAAAAAGATATGAAAACTATGAAACAAATTTTTACAGGCAACACTTATTATGTAAACCATGTTAACACGTAACATTTCTTTTTAATTTCATGTTGGTGAAGATAAAGTTTAAGTTTATTGCAATAATGATGTTGAATAAATTATTTTGAATTAGTCATACTTTCAATGAAAATGTAAATCGCCTATCAAACAACATGTTAAATTAGAGGGCTAAAAAATGTTCATTTAAAAGTATTCTAAATATTAAGCCTAATCAACCAAAGAAATCTTTTTTTTTAAAATATAAACATCGCAAAAGAGAAGATAAATTGTTTAACAAAAATTTCAGTAGAACGACAAAAAGCAAAATTCATGAAAAATTATAATTTTATATTTATAAAAAAACACGTATTAATTATAATAAAATAAACAAAAGCAAAGATATGGTAAAAAATTAAGCTTTTAATTTATAAATTACTGTACTGGCGCATATGAGATAAAAGTAAATAGGTTAAAAAATTTAAAAAAAATATTATTCGTCAGAATAGAAACGCTGAATTTTAACTTCCTCAAATTTTCATTTAAGGTATAACAAAATTTACACAAATATTTACCTTGCAATAAT